ATCCAAGCGATAGATACAGTAGCGCTGCGCTTGAGTGAAGGTGGAAGCAACGCATAGAAAAATGAGCAAATACACAAACCTTTCTTCTGAGGATGTAATCTTTGCTATCAAATTCGTTCGAAGCATTTACCTTTGAGCGGCAGACGACGCGATTCTACCTGTCTCATAGCGTTCGTATGAGAAAATAGAAGGGTTGCCAGTCTTTTTGATATGTTGTCTTCGCTTCGGACCTAGAATTGAGTATCGGGTGTTAATCGGTTTTTACCCCACAGGGTAGATATTTCCTATGTATGCCGGTGATTTTTCGCAACGATTTTGATGTTCTCCTGCATAGACCAGCAGATGAAAATCTACGTCAATGCGCTGGCGACGGATACCTCGATGCAGGGTTGCTTCCACTCATTTGCTATAAAAAAATGATTATCTGAATTTTGAAATAATTAGATGTTATAATGATATTTTGTGCTTGTAAGATACAAGAAGAGGATGAAAGGCAAGTGTCTGACTCATAAAACCTGTCAATTTTGCTACCAGAGTGTTACAATAAGCGATTTTATGATTTGTGAGCATTCACTCAGAGTGAGCGCTCGCGAGTCGTAAAATCGCTGATTGTGACTATCTGAAAGCGAATTTAAAATGTTTCATGTGTCAAGCACTTGCATTTCAACCTCTTCTTGTATCTAGCAAGTACAAAATATGATTATAACATCTAATGATTTCAAAATTCAGAAAATAATATTTTTATAGCAAGTGAGTGGAAGCAAGCCTGCCTCGATGGATACCCCCTTTGAAAGTTTTCCTATAGGAACAAAAATTGTTGCTATAAAAATAATGCAAAAACAAAATAAAAGTTTCCCAAATTTCGTAATTTTAACAGTGAAAATTTTCAAAATGAAAGCTATATCTTTGGTTTGAAAGTTTATCTTTCACTTCTGACTTGTAATTTTAAAAGTGCATTTTTTTAAAATAAAAGTTGTTCAACTGTCAAAAATACTTCTTCATAGTAACGTTTTTGGCAACACTGAACCCTACATTATTTGCCGTAGACTTGACGAGACGAGAAAAAAAATCGTTCCACGGAATTTTATTTTTTTTTTAATGAGTTAATTCGGTGTTCGGAAGCTACCTCCGGTGATCGATTGTGATTCAGCCACTGCAACAGGGCATGTAGGTGAGTTGGAAAATTCTTTTTCTTAGGATCGATTATATTTATGTTATCATTGTAGGTACGCTTATACTTGACAAACAAGCGCTTACATCGGATGGTTCCGGCCAGAGAGAATAGGTAGAGAGGCGAAGAGTGTGAAGCAAAAAAAACCTTATCGAACCGTCAAACTGGTATCCTATCGAACAAAATAAACAAAAGTTGATGTTCCCCAATTTGGTGAAGGCAAGTATTGTAATCGCTGCGAATATATTTGGAAGAAAACTTTTTAGGATGAGAAAAATACATGAAGAAATAAAAAGTAATGCTTGAATTTAAAATGTAGTAATATTCAGGATATTTATTTCTATATTCTTTTAGTATAAAGATCAATTTTTTGTAAAATTTGCAGAAGCATACACACTTAGAAAATAGTACCGAACTCGGTTCAATTTCAACCGAGTTTTTATCTGCTGAACGCTCGGTAGTCTGTTCGGTTCAAAAAGAAAGAACCGAGTGTTCGTTAAAGTTTCTTTTCCCACAACCTGTCAAACTAACCGAAAAAACTTGGTTGACAAAAAGTCAATTCAAGCAGGAATAACCGAACATCGGTTTACCCAAGTATTACCGAACGCTGTCAAACAAACCGACTCACCGGTTGCAATCACGGAATTCGGTTCTTTTTGACAGCGCTCAAATCCAAAAACTTACGATGTTTCGAATCAGAAATAAAACTAGTTTTTTTTTTAATGAGGTGCATGATTTATATTATATTTGTCAGATGTTGTTTTAATGCATAAATATGCTTTGTATGTACTAACTATTGACAACAAACTTGAGACGAACCGGAAAATTATGGCTCACCTGTGCGGGGGGAAAGAGAGGGTTAACCCCCTTGAGAGAAACAAAAAACTTCTCACACGTCGTGATAATGCCTCCTACATGGAATTCAATCAAACATGCAGTTCCTCCAGAATCCACTTCTGCCTGTTTTCCTCATTTTTCGGAAATCGAAAGAAAGTTATGTTTTTGTATCCACTCACATACTGGTTTTTACAAAAACTCGCAACGCACTTCATTATCAGCAATCATTAAATTTTAATAACGATAAAAAAACAATTCTGACACGGGTAAAAACAACACAAATAGATGGTTGAAAAAAGTCACTTGAAGTGTGCCCTTCAGAAACAGTTGCCAGAACTTGTAGGATGGAATCATAATAAAAAGAGTGCTGCCATTTCCACGGTTTTTCACTCTTCGCCTCTCTACCTATTCTCTCTGGTTCCGGCTAACAAATCCCGTAACAGAGTGAAGCGTCTCGACCGAAAAAGACTATCCTTACAACAAACCCTGTTACATGGCACCTAACCCATCATTCCGGAAAGTGACCACCAAACGTACGTGGGCGTAGAACATATGAACTTACAAGACAATGGTGTACAGGGAATTATCCACCAGCTCACTGTTTTGGTGTTGGTGAACCTCCAGCTGAAAGATGTCTTCAAGAATGCCGTTCCCATTGAGTAGTACTGGGATTGCGGCGTCAAGTGATCACTGTATTGTATTGTATGTCGTTGTCTTAAAGGATGGAAATACGAGGAATGCTTCGAAATGACCGTGGAGTTTAGGTTCGACTCAATACTTCGACCATTACAAGACGGACAAGAATCTGACTCAACCCATGCCACTTAGATGACTCAGGACGATGATCAGTAGGATTAGCCTTCCTTTGGTTCCTAATAGGGCTAGGGCACAATCTGCACTGGAAACATAAAATATGTTTTGTTTTCTTTGTTTTTTTTTTATAAAATAAATGAATAAATTTATGTTTTAAATATGATACAAACATTAGTTTGGCTACTTTTCTTAATTTTGAAAATCATTAATATGATAATATTTAAAATTTAATATAAAAAATATATTGTCATAATAAAAACAACTCTTTTCGAACTGAAACAGTTTGCACTTCATTTTGAAAGCATTGGTTTTCCTTTTGACAGTTCTACAATTTGATTCAAAAGCATCAACTTTTAAAATTAACGAAAGGGTAAACTTTTGATTTGATTTCTACCAAAAAGAACCAACGAAAACTTTTAAATCTACCAATGATTTTTTTTAATTTTAGTAGTGATTATTTTTTGTGTGTAATATCGTTCGAGCCGTTTTCTGAACAAATTCAACAACATCATCAATCATTCCTCAACAACAAATTCATACACCGAAAATAGTTTTCATGTAGCTTCCATTGGAAACGCAAATGATTTTCATCCATAAACAAAATTAATGGAATTCATCTGAATTTCACATAACATTTATGGGATCACGTTAATTTTATATGATTTTTCATATGAATTTCATCGGCCTCATAATATTTATGTGATTTTGTGGTGGGATTTTTAGCTATGTGATCACATGAAAGCTATGTGAAGTTCACATGGTTTTCATCCATTAGATATGTGATAAATTTTTTGAGTGTATCGTTTCAATTAGAGAGGGCCTAGTATAAGAGAGGAGCGGACTGGCTGGTTTCCAAAACCAGAGCCAATCGAGCAGCGCCTTTCTTGATTGGCTTGGCAGTGTTGCTAGAAACCACCTAGGCACAGGTTGTCAACGCATTTTGATTTGAATCCGCTCCTCTCTAGCTTCAATAGCCGACAAAAATGCAGATTGAAATTAGAAAAAAAAATGTGGCAACGCTGCCCATCGTTCTGCTTGAACCTGAAAAGACATAAAACGGCGCTGCTGTCGTGCCTCTGCTCGGACCGCTTCGGACGGCGTGGCACTTGGTCCTGCAGCAAGCAACCAGCGATGGGGTGGGTCCCGTTTAACCAAACCGAAACGCGGAAAAGTTATACATGCAAAACACACCCCTCCCCCTTTGAATTTTGATTAAGCTTTTGCCTTGGTGCACTCCTGGAATCGCAATTAATTCGTCACTCCATAAGAGGTTCGCGATTGGCATATCATAGTTGGCACTCGTGGAGAATAGAAGAACTATGAGAGTGATGATGGTTTTAAAATTTTACACGGTGAGGTATACGAGAGCAATCTTAAAATGCTTTTATTTTGCAAATGGAGCATTCCATTTAAATCTTGTTTTCTACGTTAGTAGAAAACTTAAGGACTACTCAATAGACATTTAATACAGAAAAAAATGTCTTTTCAGATTTTTAGGCGTATATGTACATAAATTTCAGCTTTTCTACCACTGTAGCAGCAACCAGATTTAAATAAAATGCTCCATTTGCAAAATAAAAGCATTTTAAGATTGCACTCGTATACTTCCCCATAGAAATTTTTTAAGCCATCATCACTTTCATAGTTCTTCTATTCTCCACGTGTATTTACAGGCATCGTAAATGAAACTTTCTTACCTCTTACTTCCTGGTAAAATGTTTGATCCATAGGACTTTCTCTAGCTAATAAATTATCACACTAAAGCTTCATGATGATATTGGTATAGTATTTCAAACCAACTATTATGAGTTTTAGTTTTTCCATTCCACTTGAAACACGAGATGAAACAAAGGTCCTATTAGCATTTGTCAAATTTTTTGGTTGAATGGCGAGGAGATCGCGGGAGAGAAAAGTGCGGTATAGAGTTAATTCTAAACAAATTCACTCGCTCCTCCATAAAAAATCTAAGATGTCGAATCATGAATTCGACACATTAGAACACCTATGATACCTATTATAATACATATGTACTCACCTTGCTTACACCTAGATTGATACATTTAGCAGAATTTTCACAATATAGACAAACTGAACAAAGATTTATGAATATATTTGTTTAACTAATACTAACAAATGTATTAAATACTTCATTTTTACTTAAAATCATAGAACGGACGTTCGTTTACCGAAAGACTTTCAATTGAAAGTCTACTAACTGAAAGAAGTTTCAGTTATATGACACTTCCATCAGTTCATGAGATTTGAGTGTAACTGTATTTGTAAGCAATGACTTCAATAACCAACTTAACGCGAACACAGTTATGACCCGATTTTATCTGCCCCTTCGCGCATGAGACTTTAATCTTCCAATAATTTCACATAACCGTAATTCCAAATCTTTCGCATTGAAGTTCAAGATGGATGTTTGAGGTATACTTTATTGCAATAAGACCACTGCAGAAGCACATGGGTTTCGTAGAACATTATAATAGACTTTTAAAAACGGGGTTGATAAAATAGGATCATCACTCGTCATTAGTTCCATCTCGCAAAATAACAACGCTATCAGGTACGGCAGAGAATCTTCTAGCACTTGGTATACTTTGTTTGCTAAATCGAGCTTTTGTTCGCGAGAAATCGGTGATTGAAGCCATTATTTACAAAAGCAATTACGCCCAAATTTCGAATTATTCCGGACTTATGTCAAATTTGTGCATATCAAAATGGCAAGATGAACCTGAGGATGAACATTGATGCATTCTACACATGAAATACATTTAGTAAACATGTTTCAGGTAACAAACGTCTAGTCAGTCTTATTATCTTTGATCTACGGGGTTCGATACAATCCGAAAATTACTTTTTGCGTTTTGAATGAGTTTTTCTCTTGGCTAGCTTTGAATGGACATCCATGACTTCATGACGCACAAGGGACTCGTTTCGATCGCTAGGAACTCCATGACATTCCGCAGATTCCGTTTTACTATTCTCCAGATGCTTCGACGTCCTTCGGATTACCATCATCCAGATGCTGTATGTTAAATTGAAATAAAGTTAACGGTTACCCTTCAATGCATTTATGAACTGCATCAGCTCGAAAACATAGTACTAGTCGATTTCAATGGTAATTGAACCCTCCACTCATTACATACCTTCTCAATATTATGCTTATGTAACAGACAACGTTTATGAAACTTGATACCACATTTGTTGCACCGCAGTTCTGAGCAGCTTTTCTCATGGCGACGTAGAAAGTTAGCGAAATGAAACATCTTTCGACAAACAGAACATTTATATCGTGGCTCAGAATGACATGCGATCTGTAAAAAAAAACAAGTTACAATTTTCCAGTTGCTCTACCAAGAAATGCTTAATCTAACCGTGTGATAACTCTTTTTATTTGCGTTGCCAAAGGATAGTCCACAAATTGAGCACCAATAGATCTTAACAGCAGCTTCATGGCGCACAAGGGACTCGTTCCGATCGCTGGGAATTTCATGACATTCCGAAGATTCCGATGCAGTCTGATGTTCAGTTAGAATAATATCTTCATCTTCTAGGAATTCTTCTTTGACTTTGATTCCATTGTTAAGACCTTCAGCATCTTCAGCTCCAACTTCCTTCGATTTACCACCCTGCGGATGCTGTATGTGAAACTGGAATGAAGTTAACGGTTAGCTTTCACTGTTTTAAACTGAACCAGCCCAAAAACAGAGTTGATCTGACTGAACCCTCCGCTTTCAGCATGATTTTACCCTTCTTACAATAACCATGGTCCTATAGAATTATACCTATACCACAGACCTATACCACAGACAAACATAGTGTCATATTTCTCACTGTAAAACATCGTCGCTAAAACATTACCGCCATCTGTTGAGTACACTGTCCATTTTTCTCAACAAAAATATTCCTGAACACCAGCATGATCCTTGTAAAAACGATACAGAATTAAATTTTTCAACTGTAAATCAAGTTTTGGAGCACCTCAGATGAACCAATTTATCAGGAAAAGTGAAAAAGTGTTCCGCTTCCTATGTTGGCGTTCTTCTATTCACCACCAGAGGTTGAATCGATCGCTTAGTTTCTATTAAAAAGGCGTATCGGGAATGGGAGAATTTACCCTACCCGATGGTGTTTGTTGGTTTGCGTGGGGGCGTATGATTATTTAATGGACAAACTTTACAAATCCAGCAAAATTTAAGCTGACAAGCACTTACCAATGTGGTGGCGAATGCTCTGCCTGGGTCATTATTTGGAACTTGATATTTCTGTTCCTGCAGCATTGTATCCTCTACTTTAATGTCCAGTTTGAGTTCAATAGTGGCACCATGCGGAACAATCGTGGAATTAGTTCCAGCTTGCTTTACATCACGGAGCAGTGAGATTTCCTCTGCCTCGAACTGAGAATCGTCGTGCTCTTTTGCGTGCTTCGGACAGGTTAGCTGAAATAGAAATTAAATAGATATAATACATTTAATTTCTGGCTTATAGTACGTTCAGACTACAGAGTTATAACATGTTATAGAGCTATCTTGATGGTGGTTTCTGTGTTGCAATTATTTGACAACCGTTATAACATGCAATAGTAGACAAATAATGCTCCGTATCATTTTCGATTGAGTCGAGGGTCACTGATTTCATATTATAATATTATTTTATTAAGTTTGTATATTTGTAGCAATTCCATGAAAAAAAAGTAACACGGCGAATGAGAACAACCCAAATTTGAGTTTAGTTCACTCATAATCGCCAAAAGTGCAGGAACTCAGCGGTGAGTAAATTTGCCTCATGTTTTCCCAGGTTTTTCCAGGGGAAAATTCCCGAATTTGAGAACAGTAAAGATTAGATTCACTCAGTCTATTGGTACTACTCCGAGACTGAATAAAACTTCCGTCAATTTCCTCATTTTCAGGCAGATTTTTTAGGTTTTCCACAGGAAACCATGAGATAAATTTTACTCATCGCTGAGTTCCTGCACTTTTGGCGATTATGAGTGAACTAAACTCAAATTTGGGCCGTTCTCATTCGCCGTGTATGGTTAAATTAAAAACTCGCTTTTGGGTACATTTTTTCTGTGAACAATAATATAACATTGAGCCTTGCTTTTATTTTAATGGTGAAACAATAAATTTGAGTATATTTATTCCATAGCAACGATTGGGACGTCAATTGGGAGAGCCTTAAAAGCGTACTGACCATGAACAAGCAATGATCCTTTGTTCATGATTTTTGTAATGAAATCACATAGCGCCCGGATGTCATAAATTTAAGCATCTCAAAATAAGAAGATGCTCAGAGTTAGGTAATTCCATGAATTTTGTAAATAGATTATTTTTAGATTCTGAATATTTCATCATCAGTGAAATCTCAGACTTAGGAATAAAAATTAAGTCAGGTTATAACTTGTCATGCTTATAATATTTGTAGACAAAAGAAAGTAAGAAAGCATTTATCCAGAACAATTTTTTATTCGAAGTCAATCAAGATTTAACTTTAATTCTAATCGAAAGGAATGAACTCGAAACTTGAATAATTGTGTCTCTGTTTAACTAAATAATAATTTAATTAATTTTAATAAAAGTATTATTTATTTATTTTTTAAATGAAGTTAGTTTTGGTTATATCAATTCGGAACCAATTGATTATTTACACAAGCTTTTTCAGTGTTCTTTATTTATTTAATAAAAAATACACCCACAAATCACGGATTTTTCTATGTGCTAAGGCTATCAAACTATCCTGCAGCTGAATTTCGGGCATACATTTCATCTAAAAGAATTAAATTAATACATATTAGATACAGGTAGAAACTTCCATCTTGTAACCAGTTGGTTACAATCCGGATTTTCGTCTGTATGAGTGGTTGTTGTTTGGAAAAGTACACGTATTTTAATATCAAAGACAGTAGGCCGAGCAGAAGGCAACACACAGCAGCGAGAAGGTTAGTACCGCTGCAAAACACTCGAACGATACTGTAGAATATAGATAACTCTCTAGCGTAACAGAGCAATTCTGATTTACTGGACGGCAGTCAGTGACTTGTAAACCCTAGCATAGAATAAGTGTGTAGAGAAGAGAAAACGAAATACACGGGCAGTTGATGGTAGACTACGCAGCGAAGTGGTTGTTATTTCTTTTCGTTCCGAGTTCCGACACGACATTTTGACGACGAGGATTAAAATTGTTCCGGTTGCTTATAGTTGCATGGTGTTTTTGGCAGTGGAAATTGTTCGGCGTGATACGTGGAAGGTGAGTTTTTTTTTAACGAAACAAGGAAGCATTTTCCGAAATAGTTGATGAAAATTTGGAATCAGCAATTTGTTCGTGATGGTGGTTTTTCAAATGGCGTCACGAATGAGGGGATATAGCTGAAAATTAATGAATGAGTATACATCTGGAATCGGGTGCAAAATAATTAAATTTTACGTTTACATAGTGAATGCAAAGTGCCTAATGTTTGGTATTAGTTGCGCACCTGAAATCTTCCAGAAGGTTATGGAAACGATCGTGGCAGGTCTCGAAGGGTAAACAACAACTTGGATGATGTGGTGATTTCCGGAAGGTCTCAAGAAGAGCATGACATGAGGGTTGAGGCGTTGCTAGGACGTTTTAAGGAATATGGCGTCTTGTTAAATAAGCAGAAGTGTCTTTTTAACGTTGATAGTTTGGAATTTCTCGGGCATCACTTATCTACGGAAGGCATTAAACCAACAGAAAATCGGGTAACAGCAGTCAAACAATTTCGAGAACCTGCAAACGTAGCGGAGCTGAGAAGTTTCTTAGGTCTAGTAACCTATGTAGGTCGATTTATACTTCACTTGGCTTCAAAAACAGACCCACTGCGAGCTTTACTGAGGACTGGAAAGAAATTCGAATGGACATCAAAGGAGCAAGTAGCATTTGATGAAATCAAATCAGCAGTGTCCGACATCCAATATCTTGGGTTTTTTGATCCTAAGGATAAAAGTATTCTCGTTACTGATGCTAGTCCATTCGGATTAGGAGCGGTTCTGCTTCAGGAATCTGCTGATGGAGTAAGACGAGTTATAGCATATGCAAGTAAATCTTTGTCTGATCTTGAACGCAAGTATTTTCAAACCGAGCGGGAGGCACTGGGACTTGTTTGGGGAGTTGAACATTTTCAACTTTACTTGCTTGGTACAAAGTTTAAGTTGGTAACAGACTGCAAACCTCTCCATTTTTTTTTCGGTCATCGATCCAAGCCCTGTGCTCGATGGGTACTTCGGTTGCAGTCATTCAATTACGAGGTAGTTTATGAACCCGGAATCACGAATTTAGCAGATGCACTTTCCAGACTTTCCTTGCCTGAATCGCAGCCGTTTGATATTGGAGGAGAAAAATATATACAAATGCTGATCAAAATGCCAGCTCCAGTAGCAATTGCATCGGAGGAAATAGTCGCTGAATCACATAAGGACGAGCAAATAAAAGAAGTTATTGATCTGTCTAAGCCTTTCAAACCGTACTCTGCAGAGGTGACAGAATTGTCATTCCAAATACGTTACGCCAGCGAGTATTGGAGCTGGGTCATGAAGGTCATCCCAGTATGGTAGTAATGAAACGACAATTGCGACAGAAGGTGTGGTGGCCGAGTATGGATTACCAGGTGGAACATTTTGTAAAATCCTGCAAGGAATGCGTTCTGGTTTCATCGACAGGGCCACCAGAGCCATCAGTGCGAACAAAGATGCCCGACAAACCGTGGGTGCATATTGCGGTAGATTTTATGGGACCGCTTCCGTCAGGCCATAACTTATTGGTAATAGTAGACTATTTCAGCAGGTTTGTTGAAGTAGTTATTATGAAGGAAATAACGGCTAAACTTACGGTTCAAGCTCTCCATGAAATTTTCTGTCGATACGGCATTCCGGAGTCAATCAAAACGGACAATGGTCCACAGTTTGTGAGTGAGGCACTACACATTTTCTGTAAGGAATATGCAGTGGAACTACGGAAAACTACCCCTTACTGGCCACAAGCCAACGGGGAAGTGGAAAGAGCTAATCGAGCATTAAAGAAGAGATTGCAGATAAGCCAGGAAACCGTGGGTTCAGACTGGAAGTGGGATTTAAGGATGTATTTGCTCATGTACAATTCCACGCCCCATTCAACGACAGAAGTTGCGCCATCGCTATTAATGTTTGGGAGAGTTTTGCGCGATAAGCTACCAGCGGTTCCACATTCAGGTTTGAAGCTAGTTGAGGAAATTCAAGATCGGGATCGTGAAAAGAAGGTTAAGGAGGCGGAGTACGCAGATTCTCAACGACGAGCTAAACCCAATTCACTTAAAGAGGGAGACATGGTGGTAGCAAAACGAATGACGAAAGACAATAAGCTCGCTACTAATTTCAGTCCGGAAGAGCTAACGGTATTAGAACGTTGTGGCCCAGACGTCAAATTGCATTCTAAGGAAACGGGAAGAGTGTTTCATCGGAATGTGTCCCATTTGAAGCGGCTGGAAACAAGACTAGGAAACAACCCACAAATTCCAGAATCATCGTCGACCAATTCCAGCTTTGGCCCAGAGAGTTCAGTTTTAACAGATTCATCGAGATCAACAGCAGTTATGGCACTACCAGAACGACCCCGTCGAGATAGCAAGAAACCAACGTACTTGAGCAATTATCGATTGGGTGCAGTTAAAGGTTATCGAGAAGGAGGGGAGATGTAGAATATAGATAACTCTCTAGCGTAACAGAGCAATTCTGATTTACTGGACGGCAGTCAGTGACTTGTAAACCCTAGCATAGAATAAGTGTGTAGAGAAGAGAAAACGAAATACACGGGCAGTTGATGGTAGACTACGCAGCGAAGTGGTTGTTATTTCTTTTCGTTCCGAGTTCCGACACGACAGATACTAAGACTGTGAACCATTTGCCGAGTTAAATTTAGCTCGTGGTTAAAAGTGACATTTCGAAAGTTATTTTCTATGTTCGAAAATCCCCGTGCTATCGATCGACCGGTTTTCGAGCCAAGGTTTTCAAAATTTAACTCGTCTGTCAGAAATAACCACGCTCGGATAGCAGGGTTAATCAATAACTTTCCATCTGTCAAATTTTAACCAAAAGTTACAAAAAATCCACCAAATGGTTCAGAGCCTAAAGGGAGAAAAATCGTAGCCTTAAGGGCCACCCACATTAGATCCGTTTGCGTTGCGTTGACGTAAATTTGACAGTAAGACAATAGATTTAGCTGTCACTTTGCCGCAACGCGTCCGATTCGGATCTAATGTGCGTGGGCCTTTAAGCTAAAAATGGAGAATGATCGGCAAAAGGCATGCGAGTGGCCATCTTCTAAAACAAAAACCTTCTAATGAGCAGAAGTAATCAGGCGTCCGTGTAGACCGGTATCTTAAAGTGCAGTGCCTTTTAGTGTAAAGGTTTCTGGGATGTTGGACTGCCTCCGTTCAGGTAATTTACTT